CTAGAGATGGGATTGGTGGAGTGCTAAAGAGTGGGGGGAGAGATGAAAGGTTATCCTCAATTGGTTGTTTCATAACCATGGTTAGAATTGACTCTTCAACAACCTCATCCAACACATCTATAAGACAACACTCGTCTCCATCCATGGGATGTCGACTTGCATTGAAAACATTAAGCTTGACCATCATATTATTAAAAGAAAGGTCTATAACCCCGAATCTACAATTGATGGTTGCATTTGTGGTGGCAAAAAATGGCTTTCCCAACATAATTGGGATGTGGTTGGTAGGATTGGCAGCCGGTTTGGTGTCAAGAACTACAAAATCAACCGGGAAGTAGAACTTATCAACCTTGATGAGAATGTCCTCAACCATGCCTCTAGGTGTTTTGACGGATCTATCGGCCAATTGAAGCACCACCGAAGTTTGCTTCAACTCATTCAAACCTAGTTGGACATACACGGAGTAAGGAATCAAATTAACACTAGCTCCTAAGTTAAGAAGAGCTCTACAAACTTCATGGTTCCCTATCACACAAGAAATGGTCGGAGCACCGGGGTCTTTGAACTTAGGTGGAGTGTTATGTTGAATGATGGAGCTTACTTACTCCGTGAGAAACACTTTTTTAGGGCTTTGTCCCTTGCTCTTCCTCTTTTGTGTGCAAAGATCTTTCAAAAATTTTGCATAAGGCGGAATTTGCCTAATTGCATCCAAGAGAGGTAGATTGATGTTGACTTGTTTAAAAACTTCCATCATGTTATAAATTTTTCCTTCTGGCCTTCCGAAAGGCGAAGTCTCTTTTAAAGCATAAGGGAAGGGAGCTTTTGGCTCATAAGACCTTGCAACTAGAGGAATTGATGAAGAAGCTCGAGGATTCCGTTTAGGAACATTTTTATCCAAGGAAGTAGGAGTAGGATTGGAAACGGGACGGATGACAACTTTTGGTTGCACTGGTTCACTATCTTCCTTTGGTTATTCAACCCTATTGTCAACTTGTCTACCACTTCTCAAAGTGGTGATGGCTTGCACTTGTGCCCAGGAAGAACACCCCGATGAAGGGCTTGCTTCCACATAAAATTGGGCTTTTGGGTTCCTTTCGGGTTGACTAGGTAATTTACCCACTTCTCTTGCATTTAATGTATTAGCTATAGTCCCAATTTGGGCTTCAAGCTTTGATATGGATTGAGAATAAGAATGCAACAAATTGGTGCTCATTTCTAAACTACCCAAAGCTACCAAAACCTTATCTTCGAATGTGGGATTGCTAAAAGGTGCATGAGGATAATGAGAATAAACTTGGGAATCATACATTTGAGGATGTGAAAAGTGATTCATTCTTTGATAATGAGAAGAAGAAGAAGTAAATCCTTGGGAACCTCCATTCCTTTTATGAGGTGGAATGTATTTGCTTTGAAAATTTTTAGCTTGATAAGGACTTGAAGTGTCATTGCACATTAGAACATATGCACTTGAATAAGGATGAGCAAATGTGACATTGACTTGTTCAAAATGTTCATTAAACACATGTCCATGGGGACAATTGGAAGTAGTATGTAAAACACTTAAACATGTCATGCAAGGCTCACAAGGATGAGAAACATGATGAAGAGGAGATAAATTGATAGCCAGTCTTTGACTTAACAAGAATTGATCAAGTTTTTTAGAAAGAGTCTTAACCTCGGCTACAATTTCTTTTGATTCTTCAATTTGACACACTTTTGCATTTTTCTCTTTTTCATAAAAATCATGATCAAACCGAGAAGTGTAATATTTGTGCAAAGAGTTTTCGCTCATTTTCTCAAAAAGGTGCCAAATATCATCATCATGTTTTCCAAAATATGAACCTCCACATGATGTATCAACTATGTCCTTGTGCATGTCGGATAGGCTTTCATAGAAATATTGGACAACTTGCCATTTTGGAATACCATAATGTGGACATTTTCTTAGTAAGTCATTTAATCTCTCCCAAGCCTCATGCAACAACTATCCTTCCCTTTGAGAAAATTTATGAATAGAAGATCACATAACATTGGTCAAACTCACGGGGTATAATTTCTTTAAAAATTCATTTTGCATTTGTAACCAAGAAGTTATTAAATTTGGCCCCAAGGTGTTGAACCAATGCTTTGCTTTGTTTTTTAGTGTGAAAAGGAAGAGAAGTACTCTAAGAACTTCTTTCGGAACATTCATGTACCTCACGGTGGAGCATATCTCAAAAAATTCATTAAGATGTTTATAGGGCTCCTTACCATCTAAGCCATAAAAGAGTGGACACATTTGAATGGTCTCAGGCTTGATTTCATATCGATTGGCCCCAAAATTAGGAAGCATGATGCAAGTAGAAAGGTCCTTTAGCACTTCAACTCCAAAAAAAAAAAAAAATTCTTAACTTTTATCTTAGCAATTTTTATGATTTAAGCCTTTTTCCTAGCTTTTGCTTAGCTCCTTTGCTTGGATATTCCTTTGCTCACCTTCTACCCCAATGCTCCTAGTCAAATAAGAACTAGCACAATAAGTAACCAAAATAAAAATAAAAATAAAGTAAAGACATGATCAAAAGAGTACTAATTCCTAATTGATTCCACAAATACGACGTTGCCAATCAATCAATCCCCGACAACAGTGCCAAAAACTTGGTGTGCTTGTCGTGGTGCAACCAAATTTGTGTGCAAGTGGACTAAGATGAGTGTGGCAAAGTTCTACATTTATAATTTGCCACTACTACCTTTCACTAAAAATATAGTTAGGGTAAGTATGGATCATCCCAAGGGATTGTGGGGTCATGTTAGGTTGTGGAATCAAGATTAGGGTTAGTAGGTCGAGTGATCAAAAGATTGGTTGGTGGTTGAATTACACTAAGATGCAATTTAAACTAAAGTAAACAATAATGCAATAAAGGTAAAATAAGACAGAAAGAAATCTTGGGGTTTAGAGATCACAACTAAGCATAACTCTTCTATACCCTTAATGAATGATTAATGAGGGGGAAAACATGTATTGTAATAATGGTGTGTGCGTGGTTGTTTCAACAAGCATGGATGACCAATTAAGCATATATTGTCTAGACAATACAATGAATAGCAAAATATATCAAACTAAGCCATTAATTCCTCTTTAAGCTCACAATCCAAACACAACACAAAATCAGAGAAATATGCCACTTGCATTCATAAGTATGGAATATCAAACAACAAGCATGGATTGTCCTCCTATTTAACATCTAAACTACAACTACACTACAATTAAGCTAATGACATGAAATTAACTAAGGGAGAGGTACAATCCATCAAGAAATGAATATGAACCATCAAATAAACCACAAGAACATTCCATTAAGCACTATGTCTTGACAATCTCTAGATCTATAGCATTAATACACATAGACATGCATCAATAGCACAAGAAATAGAGGCAAATACATGAACATCTATTCTAGCATACATAGACATATGGATAGAATAAAATGATCAATTGGAAGCATTAAACCATACAAATCATTGAATAAACAAGATCTTTATATATAAAAGTGTCAAAACATGTATCACAATACAAATCCCCTCAAGAATACACAAATCAATATGTAGAATGCATGCTTAGGGCTAACTCTAGCCCCAAGAGGATGTCTAACCACTCATAGATGGTGTCTCCCAACCCTCAAGGGCTAACTCCATGGTAGAGATTGCTCCTCTTCTTGGTTGATGGAAGATCTCCAAGCTTGTGTCTCTAGCCTCCTCTCTATGTGTCTAAGTATATCTCTCCAACCTCTCTCAAAAAGTGGCTCATATTCCTTATATAGGTAGGTCAAAAATCACCCCAAATGAGCTGGGCTCGTATACCAAATATTCCTCCAATGATTGGATATGAGACAACTTTTAATGAGCTGAAATTTGGATTTTCTCGAGATTTGGGAAGTTCGATTGATCGAACTTGTGGTGAGATTGATCAAACGTGGTTGAGATCTATTAAACTTAAGTTGGATCAATCCTCTATAGCGGTGCCTTTTTGGATAAAAACGAATCTGAGATATTTTAAAGATATTTTTGGGAAAAGGACAAAAGTGGTTGGTAGGGTGGTACAGTCTGGATAAGATCAATCATTTAGATAAGGACAAGATGGTTCATCGATCAGATAATCAAGTTGGATCGAACAAACTTTGAGATCTTTGAATAGGGATAAACATGGCTCAGATCCACCTTGAAGTGCTGAGATCGATGAAAGTTGGATCGATTGAACTTTTCTTGAGATCGATCGAAGTTGCTTTTATTCTACCCTTTGCTTCCTTTTGCTCTACTTTGCTCATTTCTTTGATTCATCCCAGAATTACTTCATTTCTGCTCTTATTTGGCTGAGTTAGCTTATTTTGGGGATAAGTACCTGAAAATGGAAATAATACGAAATCAATCTAAAATGGAAAAATAAGATAGATAAAGGTCCTAGAATACCTAAGCTTAAAGGGTTTAAATGTGCACTTTTCAGCACTCATCAGTGGTAAAAAGAAAAAAGAAGGATGATCACCAAAAACACTTGCAAGATGTACTTAGGGTGTTGAGGGAGTATAGAATAAAGCTTAATCCAACCAAATATTCATTCCGCTTGAGTTCTGGGCTGTTCTTGGGACACAATAAACAACAAAGGAATTGAAGTTAGCCCAGCCCAAGCAGAAGCTCTGATAAAAAATGTAGAACCAAAAACAGTCAAAGAAGTACAAGCACTTACAGGTCGAATAGCCGCACTAAGTCAATTCATTTCTAAGCTGTCAGATCACTGTAAACCATTTTTTGATATAATAAGAGGCCATGGAAAATAGGCCTGGGGGGATGAGCAATGATAGGCACTGACCAGCCTGAAAGAGTATATGCAGAACCCTCTAGTCTTATCTACCCCTAAGCCAGGTGAAAATCTCTTTATGTACCTTGGTGTGTCCAACATTGCAACAAGTGTCGTTCTGGTGCACTGTGTAGAAGGTAGGCAGTTTCTAGTGTTCTATGTTAGCAAAACAATGGCCAAGCTAGAAAGAAGATATTCAAAGGCTGAACGAGTGATCCTATCGTTGGTGAATGCAAAAAGGAAACTCCGGCATTACTTTGAATCCCATCCTATCATCATTCTGACCACCCTTCCTATAAGGACGATCTTTCAGAAGCCAGATCTATTAAGAAGAATGACAAAGTGGGCCATAGAGTTGAGCTCATTTGACATCATATACGAACCCAGCATGGCCATCAAAGGACAAGCAGTGGCTGATTTCCTGCTAGAATGTGATGTAGAAGATATGGAAGAAGATCTTGGTAATTCTTTATGGAAGCTCTTCATAGATGGCTCTTCAAATCAAATGGGGGCAGCAATTAGGATCAAACTGCAAATGCCAGAGGGCACCACGCTGAGTCAAGTAGTCGTACTTGAGTTCAGCGCAACCAATAACGAGGCTAAATACAAAGCATTGCTGGCTAGACTGAAGCTGGCTAAAGAATTGAAGGTCGAAAGTCTAGTTGCTTTAAGCGATTCACAACTGATCATTCGACAAGTTACCGGGGAATATGAAACCAAAGATGAGATAATGGAGGCCTACCGCTCTGCCATTCTACACAAAGCAAAAGACTTCGACCAGATTAAATTCATCCAATTACCAAGGGAATATAATGAAGATGCTGATCGATTGGCTTATAGTGCATTAAGTTTTAGAGAAACATTGGCAAAGGTTATACCAGTAGATATGTTATGTCAGCTATCCATCTTTGATGAATTGTCCAAGTCGAATCATCGGCAAGTTAATTTCATACTATATGAGCCGAGCTGGATTGATCCAATCATGACTTTCATACGGGATGGTGTGTTGCTCAAGAAGAAAGAGGAGGCAAGGAAAATCAGATCAAATGTTGCAAAGTATACTATTATGCACAATCAGTTGTATAGAAGGTCTTTCTCTGGACCGTATTTGAAATGTGTCACCCCCACAGAAGCTAGGCAGATCTTGCGAACTATCCACGAGGGTGTATGTGGCAATCATTTAGGGGGAAGGTCTCTAGCACACAAAGCGATGACACAATGATATTTTTAGCTGAACATGTTACGAGATGCAAAAGAATTCTCTAGAAGATGCGATAAGTGCCAAAGGTTCGGACCATTGATCCACCAACCACCTAAAGACTTGCACGTAATGGCCAAACTATGGCTTTTGCGCAATGGGGGATGGACGTGGTTGGCCCTCTGCCGACCGCGAGGTCACAGAACAAGTGTGTTCTGCTAGCAATAGATTACTTTATCAAGTGGGTGGAGGCAGAGCCATATCCTAGTGTGACCCAAACTCAAGTAAGGGGCTTAATCTGGAGTAATATTATCTGTCGCTTTGGCGTACCAAGGTCGATCATTATGGACAATAGGACTAATCTCGACAGCAAGCAAGTGAGGGATTTGCTAGAGGAATATGGAATCAACCAAAAGTTAGCGGCGGTTAGCTATCCGCAAGCAAATGGTCAAGTTGAGATGACGAACAGAACAATCTTTGTTTGTATCAAGAAGAAGCTTGAGGATGAAAAAGGGAAATGGTTAGATGAGCTTCCGAACGTCTTGTGGGCTTATTAAACAACCCCAAGATGGCCGACCGGAGAGAGCCCATTCGCTATGGCGTATGGCACCGAGGCAGTAATACCGATCAAGCACTTAGTTCTAACTGTTTGAAGTTTAGCATGGAATCAGGAGCAAAATGATAGCATGTTGAAGTTTAACCGTGATCTGTTGGAAGAGAAAAGAGATGTAGCGGCAATAAAGCTCGCATCTTATCAGCAGAAACTCGTGAATGGACATAACAAAAGGGTGAAGCATAGAGACTTTGCACCTGGCAATCTAGTTCTGAAAAAGAAGGTGGGGATTGCCAAAAAGATGATGTCACCATGGGAAGGCTCATGTAGAGTGGCAGAAGCCATAGGAAAGGGGACATACATTTTAGAGACTATGGCTGGAAGATTCGTTAACAAGCTATGGAATGCCACATCTCTAAAAAGGTACTACCAATAGAAGTCGAATTCCATTCTGAACAATATTCATTTTGAGTTATATGCTTATAAATGTATATATTCTCCAAGATCTATGAAAAGAGTTCATTTTGTTTAAAAAGTTGATTTGGAAAAAATTACCCAAGTAAATGACAAATGGCACTATGAGTCGAACGCCAAACACTTGCGCATAAAAATAAATAAATAAAGAAAAAGAAAGTGTGGCGAGTGCCATTCTACCCAAGTGCCAAGTACTTAGCTAAGAAAGTGGCAAATGGCACTATAAGTCGAACGCCAAACACTTGTGCAAATAATAAATAAATAAATAAATAATAAAAAAGAAGGTGGCAAGTGGCATTCTAGCCAAGAGCCAAGTCCTTAGCCAAGTAACTAGCAAATAGCACTATGAGTCGAACGCCAAATACTTGCGCAAAAAAAAAAAAAAAAAAAAAAAAGGTGGCAAGTGACATTCTAGCCGAGCGCCAAGCACTTAGCCATGTAAGTTGCAAATGGCACTATGAGCTTAACGCTAAACACTTGCGCGAAAACAAAAACAAAAAAAAAAAAAAAAAAAAACAAAACAAAAAGTGGCAAATGGCATTCTAGCTGAGTGCCAAGCACTTAGCCAAGTAAGTGGCAAATGGCACTATAAGCCGAACGCTAAACACTTGCGCCAAAAAAAAAAATAAAAAATAAAAAAAATAAGAAAGTGGCAAGTGGCATTCTAGCCAAGCGCCAAACACTTAGCTAAGTAAGTGGCAAATGGCACTATAAGCCGAACGCCAAACACTTGCACAAAATAAAAGCCAAGTACCAAGTGGCACTCTAGCCGAGCGCCAAGCACTTATGAAAAGAAAATTAAACTAACAGTTCATTCAAGCACAAAATAGAGTACAGAAGCTTTGCAAAATAGAATTGTCATTTCATTCATCACAAAATAGTTCTTGAAATACATGAAGTGACATTGAAATGAAAAAAGAAAAATACAAAAGCAGGTAGAACTTTAGTCTGTCGTATCTCCTCATATGCCGGATCCATTGCCTGCCCCATCATCACCAGCAGGATCACTGTTTCCCTCTCCATCATTGGCTGTTCCATTGCCTGTAGAGAGAGAGTCAAGATAAATGACCTCATCAGTTGGTAGAATTCTGTTAGTGGCAGCGATAGTGGCTGGAGTTATGGTGGTGATAGGAAGAACACTCAAAAGAGTAGGGCGAATAGGTGGGATCACCTCTGAAGCTGTGATCTCATTACACTCAACAACTACGTTTTCAGCAAGAGCAAAGGATGGATCTTGGTAGGTGTTTGGCAGGTTAATGCCCAGGGAGGCATCTAACTTGTCTGGACCAGCACAAGAGCTTGATTTTCCCTCAGGGAAAGAACGGTCAATAAAACCGTCTTTGTACCCCTCAGCATATCTAAGAGCTCCTATCCTTGTGAAGCGAGCATGGAGAGCTCGCATGCCACCATCAACTCTGCCTATGACGTTCAGTAGAGCAGAGCATTCATATAAGAACTTCTCTTTAGAATTAGATGTCAACCATTTAGCAATCAAAGTGCGCTGAAGGTCCCCCTATTCTCCTCTTAGTACGTCTCCTTCTGTCTGTGCGACGTTCTTCTCTCTCTTCAAAACATCAGCATCATCCAGGAGGGAATCCTGCTCAGCTATTTGAGTGTCACCTCTCAGCCCTTAGAGCATTCTTCTCAACCCTCAGAGCTTCCATCTCTTTCTCTGATTCATTCAGCTTAACCAGCAGCTCTGAATTTTTGGCTTCGGTTAACCTCTTTGAATCAACAGATCTTTTGAGAGCGGTAGATAGGGACTTGAGTTTTTTGTTCAGAGTCTCAATGCTCTTCTGGAAAGTGAACATCCCAAATAGAGTATGCACAAAGGCAAAGGTCTGTTGATGAGTGCAAATGTCAAATAATCAGAACGGGAAAAACAAAAAGTAAAGAGGAAAGGAAGAATTACCTCAACAACAGCTGCTGGGAAGTGTTGGTACATTTCATTGAAGGTCATTTTATTCTGAGCCTCAATGTCTTTGGGGGTCCAAAAGCCCTTATAGAAGGCAAATGATGTGATCGGATCTTTGAATAAAGAATCTGTGGGGGCAATAACTGACCCATCCTCACTAGTAAGCAGGGGATGCCATAGGGTCATTGTTGGTGAAGAACCGAAGGTTCTAGCTGACTCGCCTTTCAGAATGGATAGCTGAGTAGAGGGAAAAGGATTGGTGACCCTAAAAGAAGTCTGGGCCCTTCGGGTGGGAGGGAGGTCACTTTGATCAGAACCAGCATCAAGTACTGAAACTTTAGTTGGGCTGGAGGAGATCCTTTAGTGTTTTGAAAAGAACCCCAAACATTTCGAGCACCATTTGGGGAAGCTTGAGTCAGACTATCAAAGGGTTCGTTGTTCAGCACAACAGGTTGAACTTCATCCAAGGGTATTGCAGAGGGCTCAATAATTGGATACTCGATAGTCTGGGCTATAACTAGGACTGTTGAGGTGGCCATAGTGATGGCTAGAGCAGTTGAAGGAGTGGGCTCAGTGATGGCTGGAACAATTGAAGGGGTGGGGCAGAATGCCTCCTCCTACTAAAAGAAGTAATTTGGATATTCTTCATGGTGGACCCAAGGATGGATATGTCAGAGAGGTTGTCAAGGGTGAGCAAGTCAGTGGCTGAGGGGATGTTGTTCAGAACTTTCTCCTTCAGAATGTTAAGCTTGGCCCTGTAAACGCTGTAACCAATTCGTCATGTTGAATTTGAAGGCATCTACAAAGAAAAGTGCAGAAATGAGGAAGCTAAGTTTCACAGTGGCAATCGGTTAGGTGTTTTTTAAATTTCTTGTAGTGAGGGACAGAACACTCTCCAAAAGTGGTCAGGATAGGGAAAGTCTGAGCGAATGGAGTTCGCCAATTTCCATTGACCCCAATTTGGTTCTTCCTCCAACCCTTTTCAAAAGATAACTTATCCATACAGATGGATCGCTTCTCGATGGAAAATAAGTGAAAATACATTTCATTAGTTCTGATTTTGGTAACCCAGTAGCAAAGGAGAAGGTCTATGATATCTAAGTCGAGATCCCTTTCACGGTTTAAAATCAAGCGGACTGATATTACCCTAAGGAAGTTAGGGTAAACCTGAAGAGAAAAAAGCCCTAATTTATTGAAGACATAACAAAAGAACGGGTGTAGGGGAAATCTAATTACATTCAAATGAAGAGTCGAGAAGAGAATCTCCCCAGGAAGGAGACCCTCGCCAGAACTCTTATCCAGACTCGTGGGATAAACCCTAAGGGAGACGTCGTTTGGAATATTGTTCCTCAAACGGATAGCATCCAAGTCAAGGGGAGCCATTTTAAAAAAGTGAAAGAAATTTCTGAGTGTAAAGTTTTTTTTCTAATAGAGGAGAGAATGGAACTAACCTCAGAAAGAAAGTTTGCAAAGTACCTTGCAGCAAAGCGAAAGTCGAATCGCAAAGGGAAAGGCTCGCCAGAGAAAACAAAAGAATCTTGCCGGAGAATACAGACAGGTGACAGAGATAATCGATGAGGATGGAGGTGAAAAAGGTTGAAGAAAGGTAAAAAAATGAGGGGTTGGGTTTTTTAAAGTGAAAATGGTTCAGCATCCAAGAAGTCATAGTAATAATGGTGCAGCCGATCTCAAAGCATGGATCTTTAAGCCAACCGTTCACTTTCACACGTCACTGCTTCAAGCCATCATGTCATGATTATGTCCTTTCAATAATCTTACCCTAATTAATTAGGGAGAGATAATGGGGGCAGATGAGGATACCAAAAATAACTTGAGCCGGGTACAATCCAGATTGTTTAGAACAAGTCGGGCAAGAGCAACCATCCTGAACCGAATCTTCATTGGTCAGGCCCAGCACCAGGAAATCATGTTGAAAGCCAGATCTCGGATAAAAAGAGTTGAGCCCATAACCAAGAAGGGCCCAAGAGACTAGCCCAATGCACGAAGTTTGTTAGGAAGCTTTTAAAAGGTATATAACAGTCTATAAATAGACTGAAAATAGAGGGAAAAGGGGTTGGAAAA